TTTTTATATAAATTAATTATAAAAAATTATATTTATTACACTTTTAATTTATATATTTAAGATAAAAATTAGATTAACATTATATTAATTTTAATGTGAAAGTTAATTATAGAAGAGAAGGAAGTTCAATTCAGCTGTCACATATTCTTTTCTTCCTAAAAATAAAATAAATAAAATTTTAAGCTAGTCCTTTCAATCAAAGAGGTGATGTCTTAGTGGCAAAAGTAATTGAAAATCCTTTTTAAGTTTTGTGTTCGAACCCAGAGGTGAAAACTTTAAGGGAAATTTTTCAAAGATTTAAACTATCTGGTTGAATGGTTTGTATCGGTTCAAATGGTTTTATCAGTTTGAATGGTTCAACCACTTTATTGATTTTAAACCTTAACTTAAACCGTTTATGGTATCAGGTACCAGTCTAATTCGTTCAACTGACCGATTCGATCCAATCTGATTTTTAAAACATGGGGCAAAATAGATTGTAATATCCCAAAATTTTGGGGTATTTTAGCATTAGATTGGGGACTTATTTGAGGAAAAATATTGTTTTGGGTCTTAATCACAAAATTTTTAAAAGTTGAGGGACTTAAAAAGAAAAGAAATTAGGAAAAGGATGAATTGTTTTTTTCTTTTTCTTTTTTCTTTCTTCTTCTTCCTTATCCGCGCATTTGCTCTTCTTTCTTCTCCCCCGACCCTCTGCACCCGACGAGCCCACCCCGTCACCGCCACCCATTTTCCGGCCGGAACACCGGCAAAGCTTAGGGATTTCTCCCTATTTTCTTGTTCTTGAACCCAGAATTTCCCCCTTCCCTCTGCAGAATCCGGATCTGCTCTGCTCTGCCTCTCCCGTCCGGCTGCTGCTCTTGTTTGTGGGGGCAAATTGCTCTGGTTTTAGGTAAGGAAACAGCCATGAATCCCTCTCTTTAACCTTGATTTAGGCTGGGTTTAGTTTAATTGCTTTTGTTTCCTTCCAATTTTTGGGTAGCCGTGAGTCCCCTGCACTGCCACCGGCCTCCCCCAACTGCAGCTCCGGTTTTAGCTGGAAATTATGGTATGGACAGCTTCCTTTAAGCCTAATTTCACCCATTTTGTTGCTGTTGAATTTTCCTGTGTTGTCCGAAGAATTGCCAGAAATGGGGATGAATTCCGGTAGCATGTGGCAGTAAATTAAATGTGTTTTTGTGCTTGGTTTATGTAGAATTAGCTTAATTTGATTGTTGTGAGGTTAATTGTGTGAAACCCCCGTGAATTAGCTATGTTTTGCCAATTTGGGAGTTGAAGTTACTGTTCATGGGGTACTGTTTATAGGCACTGTTCACACACCGAGGGTCAACGATTAACAGGGATTTAAAGGTTTAGTTTTTGATATAAGAATGAATTTGGAGATATTCGATTATGTGGAGATTGATAGAAATAGCACTGTGATTAGGGGTAGTGCTAATGATGATTTTACTGTGAATTTGTGGTAATGCGGTATTAATTGTGAATATTGTGATTAGGTTTTGATCGTTCTGTCATCGTAGCACTTGGGTTAGCCTTCTGTTCTCTGCGAGTAAGGTAAGTAAATTATGGTAAAGCCCTCCGATTTTAAAGTATGTTTAAATTGTTTTTGAGATAGTGGCAAGGTTTAAATTCATTTTAAATCGATTTTATCAGCATCTGAATGTGATTGAACTGAAATGAAAGATTTGATGATTTTAACGGGAATTTCATTGTTTTCTGGAATTGAGCATGATTGGAATGAAATGGGAATTTCATTGTTTTCTGGAATTGAGCATGCCTATTCGGAATTGACTGAACTGTTTTGATGAACTGAGAGTTTTGTAAATTATAATTTTTTGTTAAATCCATGCCCACATGGAATTTTTTGGTTATTTCTAAAATTACGGATTTCGATTGTGAATTACGGATTTCTTTTGTAAATCCTGCATGGTTTTGTCTTTGATATGGTCATGATTTCCGATCCCCGCTAATGGGTGTAACGCTAGCACTTCTGATCCCCGCTAGTAGGTGTAACGCTAGCACATGTCGACATGTTTACTGATATGACCGGTTTATTCTGACGCCTGCCACTGGGCAAATACATTGGCAAATTCCGACACCTGCCACTGGGCAAATACATTAGCACATTCTGATGCTTGCCACTGGGCGAATGCACTGGCACATTCCGACACCTGCCAATGGGCGAACACATTGGTAAATTTCTATTGCCTGCCAGTGGGTTGTTATAACACTGGCCATGACTTATAGATGAGACTACTGAACTGAGTTTTCTTCTGCATTAACGGTTCGTCAAGAAACGTTTTGTTATTGAATTGAACCTGATTTTGCATTGACGGTTTTGTCATTGAACGTTTTGCTATTGAACCGAATTTGATTTCCACATTAGCGGTTTGTTGTGAAACGTTTTGCAATTGAATTGAAATTGATTTCCACATTAACGGTTTATCAGTGAAAGTTCTGTTATGCTTACATGGTTTATTTGGCATGTTAAAAGTTTTACCCAAGGGCTATCCATATTTACTTACTGAGTTATCTCATAGTTTTCCTTGTCCACCATTTCAGGAAGCGAAACCGAAGATGGGGAAACCGAGGGGAGTGACGAGTTAGGAGGCTAGCCATCTTGTAATTGAATATGGATTTTAGATGTAAATGATGATATTGCAAGCTAGATTGTATTGGGAGATTGTATAAATTCATTTAGTGGATTGTTAGTTTATAAGAGATTTGATCTGGAGATTTTGAGTTTAAGTCATGTTGGACATAGGATAAATTTTAAAATATCCGATCTAAGTTATTAGGTTGTCAAACGTGAAATGGATAAGTTTCGAGCCTTGTGTATTCGTGGGATCCGTTCACGAGTGCACGGCGTTTGCCACGTCCCGGATTTGGGTTCTGGCGCGTGACATAGATAGTATAAATAACTAACTAATAATAGATACATAGCCATTACTGGTAAAACTTTAATTTTGTAATTACAAAGATAAATAGGAGAATAGTGCATATTAATTCTAAATATAAGTATTAATATTTAATAATAAAGTAAAATTTTAAAATTTAAATTGAGTTTTAATTAAATAAAATAATATTATTAAAATTCTAAATTTTAAAAAAAATTAAAATTAATATGTACTATCCTCCATAAATAATTACTAGTGATGATTTTATGATTAACTAATTCTTACCACTTTTGGTAGTTGTACATATGCTTGTTTAATTTTGTTTAATTTTGAAAAAACTTAGATAGCAGCTTTAGTTTTTAAAACTTATTAAAAAGTTATTTTAAAAGTTAATTTTTAAAATTTTTAATAAA